TTTTTAATTTCCCAATTTTTCGATATTTTGTTCAATTTGGTCATTGTTCAGTTTTGCTTATATTTTTCAATTTTTTAGTATTTCAACTTTTCGATTTTTCGATTTTCCAATTTTCCTATTTTTCACTCTCTCTTTCATTCTCCCATTTATCACCCTCTCTCTCATTCTCCCATTTATCACTCTCTCTTTCATTCTTCCATTTATCACTCTCTCTTTCATTCTCCCATTTATCACTCTCTCTCATTCTCCCATTTAACACGTTCTCTCATTCTCTCATTTTCACTCTCCCTCATTCTCCCATTTATCACTCTCCCTCGATGTCTCTTGAATTTTTCTGTTTCGATTTTTCGATTGTCGGTTTTTCGATTTTTACTTTTCGGCTTTCCGATTTTTCAATGTTTCGATTTTTGAATTATCCGATTTTTCAGTTTTCCATTTTTTTTATTTTTAAATTTTCGGGTTTCGATTTCTGGATTTGTTGATGTTTTAGTTTTTCGATTTTTAAATTTTAGATTTTCGAATTTTTATTTTTTCGATTTTGTAATGTTTCGATTTCTCCATTTTTCAATTTTACGATATTATAATTTTTCAGTGTTTTGAATTTTAGATTTTTAAATTTTTCAACTTTTCAGTTCTTCAAAATTTTTTTAATTTTTCAAATTTTAGACGTTTCTGAATTTACAATTTTCCGATTTCTCAATTAATCTTATTTTTTGATTTTCTCATTTATCGACTTTCCAAAGTTTCGATTTTTCAGTTCTTTAGTTCTTCAATTTTTCGATTTCCCGGGTTTTTGATTTTATCAATTTTTCGATTTTTTAAGTTTGCGATTTTTCGACTTTGCTTTTTTTTACTTTTCGATTTCCTAATTTTTCAATTTTTTAATTTCCCAATTTTTCGATATTTTGTTCAATTTTGTGATTGTTCAGTTTTGCGATTTTTCAATTTTCTTATATTTTTCAATTTTTTAGTATTTCAACTTTTCGATTTTTCGATTTTCCAATTTTCTCATTTATCATTCTCTCTTTCATTCACCCATTTATCACCCTCTCTCTCATTCTCCCATTTGTCACTCTCTCTCATTCTCCCATTTGTCACTCGCTCTCATTCGCCCATTTATCACTCTCTCTCATTCTCCCATTTAACACGTTCTCTCATTCTCCCATTTATCACTCTCCCTCGTTCTTCCATTTATCACACTATCTCATTCTCCCATTTATCACTCTCTCTCTTTCTCCCATTTATCACTCTCTCTTTCTCCCATTTATCACTCTCTCTCTCATTCTCCCATTTATCACTCTCTTTCATTCTGACTTCCGCATATTGAATGAAACACTACATTTTATTTTGATTTTCAATGTAGTAATTCACATTTGATTAATTATAACTTATCTAGATCTAGCTACGACCTTGTTTAGGGGTTATGAAATATCGAGAAAATATGAAAGTACCAAATTGCCCGATGGTCTCCATTACTGTACGTCCTTAGGCTATACTCCATAAGAAAAAGAGCTTGAAAGTGTTTATGTTTATACATCGGAAGAATGTCACGTAGAAATTAGTTTGATTTGAATGAGTTCGTCACCTCAAAACAGAGGATCAAAACTATTAAGTAGTAAGCTACAATCGACAAAATGTTGTGAATATCATTATTATTTTCAAGTTTAAAATTTTCAATTTTCCAACTTTTGATTTTTTCAATTTTTATATTTTGCAATTTTTCGGTTGTTTATTTTCGTTATTTTTTCACTTATTCGACTTTCCATTGATTTTTTCCAATTTTACTTTTCCCAGTTTATCGTTTCTTCAATTTTTCGATTTGCAATTTTTCAATTTTTTTTTTTGTTTTTTCATTTTTAAGATATGCGACTCTTCGAGTTTTAATTCTTCAATTTCTCTTTTTTTTTCTTCAGTTTTTCGATTTGCAATTTTTAAAGTTTAAAATTTTCAGTTTTTCAACTTTTGATTTTTTCTATTTTTATATTTTGCAATTTTTCGGTTTTATTTTCGTTATTTTTTCACTTATTCGATTTTTCAGTGTTTCGTTTTTACTTTCTTGGTTTTTTCAATTTTAATTTTTTCAGTTTCTCGTCTCTTCAATTTTTCGATTTGCAGTTTTTTAATTTTTATTTATTTATTTTTTTTTTGTTAGTATTTGTTAACATAAGACTGATTTTAGGAAATCACATACCCTCTAAGAAAATAGAGGGCGGGTGGCGGGGCTAGTACTTGCCAAGATAAGATTGAATAATATTAAGAGTAGTCACTGGAATGAAGAGGGGGTCGTTGGACGGGGCTTGCTTATAAAACTCTTTAGAAAAACCTAAATTCAGCTCCGCCCACTTTTTGTTACCAACTTAATTCATTTAATGTAAAATTTGAATTGAAATCTATTTTAACAAGCGGTAGAATCTCCTACCCACCCTTATTCCGTTTTCATCATTCGTTCTTGTTGGCTCTGAAGAAAGAATTTCACGAGTTTTCAATTTTTAATTATTCAATTTTTCGATTTTTCAATTTTAAAATTATATAATCCAAAGAAATATTGAAAATAAAGGAATTGTAAAAAGGAAAAATTGTGCTATGAAATCGAGACACTAAAAAACAAAAAATCGAGAATATGAAAAACAAAAATCAAGAATTTGAAAAATTGATGAAACGAAAAATCGAAAAATCAAAAACGAGAAACTGAAAAATCGAAAAATGAAAAAATTGTAAAATCGAAAAATTGTTATATGGAAAATTTAAAATCGAAGAAAACTGAAAAACGAAAAATTCTAATATCAAAAAATTGATCGAAGGTAAATAAACCCCGATTTTTCAAAAAATTACAAGATTTGATTTTGCGAATTTTATTTTGAACTCCAACGGGTTGTCCAGAATCGCCAATTGAAATATCCCAATTTTTAAAAATTAAAAAAAAATCGGATTTCACTCCGAATATTTTGAAAATATTGCCCCGTGACCCTAAACACGCTATACTTTTGGAATCAGCACGTCAAAATATGTAACCTTGAATATGAAAAAAAAGAAAAAACTGGTCGAAAATTGTTATATCCGTTCTTTATGCAATTTTCTGATGACGTCATCAACATTTTTGCAAGGGCGTTAATTTTTTGAGGCGCTTATGCTTATGATAACTTTAAAACATCTCCAAGATTTCAAAGCAATCGGTTTTGCAGTTCCTGATTAACTCAATAAAATAAATTTACGCCTTTATTCATTTTTTCAGTCACCCGGTATAAACAATTCCGAAAAATATGAATGGAATGATAAATCGTACGTGTAGACTCATAATATTTTGGACATTTTAGATTTGTTCAGCAAAATTTTGGGCTGACGTTATCAATTTTTTGGAGGGGAGAAGCAAATATATTTTGATTAAAAATTTATCATGCTAAAACTTCTGCAAAATTTCAAAGCATTCGGTTTTGGAGATTCAAAATTAAATTGCAAACTGTTGTTTTATAATTAAGACAGACAAACAGACAGACAGACAGACAGACGGACGGAAAAGGGAGACCTATTGCTTTGTACTCTAGGGGTCATGAAAGGTCCAGAAAACATAAAACTACGGAGTTAGCCGACGGATTCGATTACAATACTTCAGTGTTACAATAGAAAAGTGATTAAAAATATTTGAGTCTAGTTTCCGTTTAGGTTAACCGCTAACATTTTCCTAGTACTTTTTTTTTAATTCTAAATTTAAAATCAATAACTGTTTCAATGTAAATTCAACAACACCTTTGCATCTGCTGTGGGCAAAATGCCACAAAACTTTCATTAATCCAAATCTTTGTTTTTAAGACCTAAATGTTTTTTTGTAACAATCGTTTGTTCAACTTTACTTGTGGCAGAAGTAGGTGCAATCTAAAATAACAGTGTAATATTTTAAACTCATGTTTACTTCCCGAGCGTAAGCGAATAATAAAAACTAATGAATAAGTCAATTTATTTTATTGATTAAATCAGGAACGGCTAACTCCTTTTTCCGAGAAAATTTTGGGAATACAACAATGTTATTTTTCAATTTCCATTTTACACTAAATAAAAAAAGTCAGTGAAATGGAGAAAGAAGGAGGGCGGGGCTAAATTTAGCTTTCTTCTAGTTTTATGAGCAAGCAGTAGCCCCGCCCACCCACCCCCTCTTCATTCCAGTGATTACTCTTAATATTGTTAAGTCATTTAGCAAAATCAATCTTATCTTAACTACTTAAGTACTTGTACTAGTCCCGCCCACACAATTTTTTAGAACTAGTGTAACAAACTTACGAAAATCTTGTGTTGTTTTGTCTTCAAGAAATAATTTTTTTCTTGAACTGATTTATTTTTTAAAATGATGCATCTTGTAACTGTTGTCACTTCTACAACCTTCAGAGCTAGTGATCTTTATTCACTTCTTCTCGTTCATGTTGATCTTAATCTTTATTATTTTGTATTTAATTTTTTTAAGCCAATTGAATTAGAAAGACCCAGACAGGACACATCACTTTTGGATTCGTTTTTAACCATTAGTTACATCGTCACCAAATGCGACCAAACATGGCATTACCCGGAAACCACTCAACTTGACTTTGTACTAAATTTGGTTAGTTTACCTTGTCGAAAGCACACAAATGCATGAAAAAATTGTTCTACAGCTCTCATGTATTCTATTTTGAAAATTGCTACTAATAATAATTTACGTTTAATGGGATGTTTAGTTTATTTATACTTGCTTAAGTGTAACATAACTGTCTTAGACATTGTGATGAACTGTTGGCGCTGCTGAAAAAGCTCGAACTTATTACAAACAAGTCTCGGATATGTTTACTACAGTTAGAACGTCAAAATGTTTCTAGCACAGCCGATACCAAATTACATTTCTGCATTTTTGGAAATTGTCTAAAAACGGGATACCTTGATTGATTTAATGAAATGAAAAACACTGGAAGACCAAATTACATACAGATGTTTTGCGACCAATAGCTGCTAACATTTTGATCTAGTTTTTATTTCAGGACAAGGTCTAGTAAAAGACAAATCACCATGGCTGTAGACATCCTCGATGAGGATCACTTCGCCATCAGCGCCATCGTGACCGTATGCATGCAAATTATCTTCTTCACCATCGCTGCCACCTTCCAAATGGACAAACTCACCGACTTCTGTGGAGGTATCAACTTTATAATTTTGGCACTTCTGACTTTCTTCTGCGGCCAAGGAGGAAATAAGAAAAGTTACGACAGCCGGCAACTCATGGTCACCGTGTTTGTGTGTCTGTGGGGATTACGTCTATCAGGTTACCTTCTGTACAGAATAATCAAAATCGGGCGAGACAAGCAATTCGAAGACAAGAAAAGCAACACCATTCGATTCGCTATTTTTTGGACTTTTCAGGTAAGCTAGATTTGTGGCGACTTTTCTTTGACAAGGGTAAAAATCAGGCTGTTTGGGTCTACGTGGTGAGTTTACCAGTCATCATCATTAATTCGCCAAGACACGCGATTCCTCCGGCTCCGAAGACTATGACGCCGTTGGATTCTACAGGAACTTGCTTCTTTGTGGTTGGATTTTTGGCAGAGACTTATGCTGACTTGCAGAAGTTTTCGTTTCGGCAAGATCCGGAAAATCAGGGGAAATGGTGCAACGATGGTGGGTCAAATAGTAATGTGTACCACACTGAGAGTTAATTTGATTTTGTAGGTTTGTGGAGGTTGTCAAGACATCCGAATTACTTTGGCGAAATTGTTCTTTGGTGGGGGATTTTTGTAATCTCTTTGAACGTGTTAGAAGGATTCGAATGGATCGCCATCATGTCGCCTCTTTTCACAACCCTCATCATACTGTTCTTATCAGGGATTCCAACACTGGAACGGTCTTCCGATGACAAGTACAGGGAGTACGTCTTGCTATTTTCGTGTCATTTTAAACCTTAAATAATCTTAATTTTTTACAGTATTTCAGAGTATCGTTACTACAAGTCTTCGACTAGCCCTCTGATTCCCATTCCTCCTGGTATCTACGTCGAAGTTCCGTGGTTCCTCAAATTTATTCTCTGCTGCGAGTACCCGATGTACGATTGGTTGGATGAAAAGTACAAGAGCAGCAGCATTGTCAAAGAATCCACCAGCGCTTCCTTGGCTCAGTCGCAGACATAACTATAGCTACACGCTGGTCATAATCAGATCAGCACTAGTTCGAATGACGGCAAAGTTCAGATCACAGCCTTGTAAACAGTGGGGTTATTTTTGTGGTAATTGCTTGTTATGAACCAAGTCATAAGGGGTAATTATTATTAAGAAGGAGGGTCGAATGAAGAAGTGATACCATGTTGATGCAACGTATACTTTTCGGTCAATGTTCTCTGTTCTTGTGGTGTTAATGAAGATGAGTGGCTGGATTTTTGGGGGTGTTGTAGTCAATATAATTACATTTAAATTGTTACAAATTAGAGATTATGAGACTTTAAAATGGCCTAAGAAAGTATTATTCAAAAACGGTAGGTAATAAAAATTAGTGTGTAGAAGTTCCATTTGAACTAATTCTTGGAGTAGATCTTTCTAGCATATCAAAATTAAAATGTAGGTTGCTAGAAAAAAGAAGGTACAAAATAAAATGAGTGACGAGATCAAATATACTTCGTCAATAAAGATTTCTTATGAACGACTAACTTATCATTTTAGTTAATTTACGATTCTCGCAAATTTCTGTGATTATAGCTAACAGTACTTGAATATTACGACTACTATTATACGATAAGGTAATAACAAAGTAGAGAATTTTAAAGTCGAATGTAATCAAAGTAATTCCTGGATTTCCCGTCTTTTTTTCTACCATTAAAAATCTGGTCACTTAAATTCACTTAGCAATAGATATGTTGACAATGTTTGGATGCTAAAAGTACCTACCTATTAATGTCGTTAAGTATTTTTATTAGAATACATTTAAAATTTAAGGTACTAACTGTACTGCCACAAAGTTGAAAGACGACACAAAAGCTTATGACAAAATTTCAACAGAAGGTTTCATGAGAGTTTTAAAATAGGAATTGAAGTTCGATTTTACCTAGAACTAGAAGTTGCACAGTTGGTGCAAATAGATTTTCGAGAAACAAAATTGTTTCATACGTTTCTGAAGAAGCTAAAAGTAGTTCCAACGGAAAATATGATCAAAAGTTCAGTATTTTAGGTAGAGCAATACTATACATATCTAATGTTTGAATTTAAAAACAAAAAGTATTTTAATAGCCTGTACAAAATGTCTGAAACGAGTGCAGAAAATGAGAATAATAATACTGTTATTTATTAAAGTTTATGCATGTATACAAGAGTCGAAATAAAGTATTTGCAAAGTAATTCTACTGACTGCAATGTTTGTGATTTTTTTGTCAGGTTGGCAACATATTTTATTATGGCATTCCTCATTGGCATTGTCAATTGCGAACTGACATGCTAACATGCTGCCAATGATTGAGAACTGTCAACGGTACTAGATGTGGACCAAATGTGGCTTTCCTTCCTTCTGATACCCCAAACATCCCGCCTTAAATTGACATGTGAAAAAAAATTGAAAAGCACGAGCGCAGTTTGGGGCTCCTGGTTGTGGCTGTTCTCCCCCCACGACGGTGATTCTACTCTATCGGCAAGCACATACCACTCAGGACCGCTCTATCACGAAGACACGTGTCATGCTACCAGGTATTGCAACAAAACGCGAGCGTCACGTCATCCCGACCGCTCCCCTGACCTCTATTCAAGACCTGTGTCTTTTGTACAGATGGCGCGATCGCCAGCTCGACAAGGAACCGCGCACTTCGCTTCCGCCACGTGCTCCTGTGTTATTTACCACAGTTTTATTTAAATGTTCCATTTCTATAACTCTGATATTAAATTACAACCGAACAAGTGTTAAAGTTTCAAAAGAACAATAAACAACATTTAAATTCGCCATACACTCTCGTGAAATTTGAAACAGCAAAGAAATCTCATCCGAGATTAAGATTGGACATCAGACAATTTATGTGATGGAAGCGTTAATCAACAAAATATTTACATGGTCAAAAAAACTAGCAAAGATTTATAAAACAAAAAAGATCTGGTGTGTAGTAAAACTTGTGCAAACAAAAGAAATTACGTGAGGTTAGGAACTGCAGAGCATGAAAATTTACGTTCAATAAATTATACAACAAAGAAAATTACTGAGGTGAGATAGAGAAAATTGTATGAGGTGAAAAATTGCAAAGCTAACAAAATTATATAAATTTAATATTTGCCACACTATCAACGATTCAAACAAAGAATTTACATGATGTTAAATTATGCCACACTTTATCAACGATTCAAACAAGGAATTTACAGGATGTGAAATGATGCCACACTTTATCAACGATTCAAACAAAGGATTGTGGGAACACGTTAAGTTAATTTAACTGCCGTAAATGAGTCATTAACAATCTTGTGTGAGGAACTAAGAAGTGTTATAATGTAACACTTCTTAATGTAAGCATAAGCATCCTGAAATCTTATTTATAACTTGATAGACAAATGATGAGTCGAGTCCTGACTAAATGAATTTCATGAAATCTCCTGTCAGGTGCTTTCAACTGAGCTGAAGTAAAGAAAAAATGAGCATTTGGTAATCCTTCTTGCAAAATCAGAAGTATACCAACGTACCAACAATGCTTGTGACTTTCTGAAACAGATTTTTTTGTAGATTAGCCTGACTAAAGCTAGATAATAATGTGATAATCCAAACATCCCGCCAAATTTGACGGGAACAAAATTATAAAATCCCCAAAAAATTCAAAAATTTGGCCCTTAATTGTGATCGTCAACAAATGTGGAACCCTAGGCTGTGTGTGTGTTGTCAGTGCAAATATTTGAATATCGCAATTTTAAAAATACTAAAAGTTATTACAGCAAATTTGAATTATGGTAGTCGAAAACCCAGTTTGTCACCTTCCTCGGTCATTCTACTCCATACATGGGTATAACACATACTCCACATTTCTATCCTCAAAAAATTGCCGCATATTATACTCCTTAGGTACCCAGTCTTCGCAAACTAGCCAGCAAGTTGTGCGTCTCATACCGACACGTGTCTTCCCATGCAGTCTCAATTTCAACTTCATTTGGGTAATGATAACACCGCAAACTTTACCTAGAAAGCGTGTGTTCCGTTTTCGCCAAGCGAACTTGTATCCTTTTTTTTCGAGTTCAAAAATCTCTCTCGAAATGATAACTATGACTAATTGAGTATTAAAATTACTTAAATTAATTACGTAATACTTTACAAATAATTTTACACAACAAAGAATTTACATGACGTTAAATTATGCCACACTCTATTAACAATTTTAAACAACAAAGAAGTCACCTTTTGGACCTCAACCCCCAAATCACATACAACAAAAAACAGACCCATTCGATAGGATCAAAATCAATATCAGCTGGTTTCGAAAATAATTAGACCTGTAAGGAAATATTAAACCCCTCCCGTGTTTTAGAGTCCACGAAGGTATGAATTTAATGGCAATTGTTCAAGGAAGTCAAGAAGTGGGTTACAATGTAATACTTAAGTAAAAAGATCCAGAAACTTTAGTTATAACTTGACAAACAAAAGAGTGATGTCTGAATAAGTGAATTTCCTAACACGTGGTTTTTATGAACAGCTTCATGACTGTAAAATTGTGTTGGAACTAGGAACAGTTGAAAAAAATTGGTCTAAAGAGTTTAGACAGTACTTCCCTCGCTGTCGGAAACATGACGACTGCATGCCTATTATGTTTTTTTTTTCGCAGTAGATTTCAAAGCATTCGGTTTTGTAGTTCCTGACTAAACCAATAAAATAAATTTACGCATTCATTTTTTTGAGTCACCCGGTATATGCAAATTCAAAAATTATGAATGGAATGAGTACAGACTCATCATATTTTGTATATTCTAGATAGGATTTATTCGGCAAACTTTTGAGCTGACGTCATCAGTTTTTTGGAGAAGATAACAAAATATATTTTGACTAAAAATTTATTATGTTTTATTGTAAAACATTCACCTATTTATGAAATGTGCTCCTTATATAATCAAAACTTATATGATCTGGAATTATTTCGTTAAGAAAAACTCCTCCTATCTGGGTAAAGTAGTAATCTTATAGCTACTGACATGATTTTATTTACTTTCATTGCACCTCCATCGTTACTAGTTGGTCTGTCATTGGGTTTGTTTTCAACCTGTTGACCAACTCACACATAATAATATTAATAATAATAATAATAATGCTCTTTATTACTTTAAAACATTTGCAAGATTTCAAAACATTCGGTTTTGTAGTTCCTGATTAACTCAATAAAATAAATTCACGCATTCATTAATTTTTTTGAGTCACCCTGTATATGCAAATCGAAAAAATTTGAATGGAATGATAAATCATAAGAAGAGACTCATCATATTTTGTACAGTTTAGATAGGATTTATTCGGCAAACTTTCGAGCTGACGTCATCAATTTTTTGGAGGGGATAAACAAATATATTTTGACTAAACATTTATTATGCTCTTTATAACCTTAAAACATTTGCAAAATTTCAAAGCATTCGGTTCTGTAGTTGCTGATTAACTCAATAAAACAAATTCGCGCATTCATTAATTTTTTTGAGTCACCCTGTATATGCAAATCGAAAAAATTTGAATGGAATGATAAATCACAAGAAGAGACTCACCATATTTTGTACATTTTAGATAGGATTTATTCAGCAAAATTTTGAGGTGACGTCATCAAGTTTTTGGAGGGGATAAGCAAATATATTTTGACTAAAGATTTATGATGCTCTTTATAGCCTTAAAATATCTGCAACATTTCAAAACATTTGGGTTAGTAGACTCAAAATTAAATTGCAAAATTTTATTTAAAATTTTGATTTTTTTCCAAAAATCTAGACGTTTCGGGTAAAAACTCAATTCGGAGTCGTAAACTACATGTGTAGGATATGTTATTTTATACAATTTAAAATCGATTTACTATATACAATTTTGAAGTGACGTCATCGCATTAGTGGTGGGGATGATTAGACAAATTTTGGTTAGCGTTTTACCATCTACATGATATTCCTAATATAAGTACAAAATTTCACAACAATCGGTCCAGTACTTTCGAAGATTATCTGTCTAATAAAAATCCGGGACGGCAGACAGACGGACAGACGGACAGACAGACGGAAATGGGAGACCTATTTCTTCGTCTTCTAGGGGTCATGAAAGATCGATAAAAAAGGTAAAAGTAGAGAGTCGGCCGACGGACTCGATTACAATACTTCCTTTGCTTACGCTCGGGAAGTAAAATTACAAATATTCCGGATATTTACTTGTCCAAATCCAAATTCATTTCCTTATGCTGTAAATGGGAAACAATACGATACAAAATTCCTTGTGTCCTTGTAATTGATTGTCCGTCACAAATAGGTAAGTGTGCATTAAACATAAAAATTAAAATAACAGTAGTCACTGATTTGTTTTAGTAATGTGCATGTTTGTTTATTTCGATATAGAATAAAACATTTACAGAGTAAAATTTTAAAATTACAACTCGTCTCCATTTCGAGTGACATCTAAAAGCCCGCGTCACATTCAAATTTATAATTTTGATTTTGTTATTTACATTATCGATGAATTGAAAGCTACTACCAAAATACACACAATAGCCAGATCCAGTTTTAATACAGTAATATTTATTCACGGTTGCAAACAAGCTGCGATAAGAATTCAACAAGTGTACGGGTAGGTCGTCCAGACATCCCTTCTCGTAAATATGGGTAGTCGTATCCGTTGCTGTACATCACCCCATGCGTATCCATATGCAGCCAGTCCCCACACGGAACAAACTCGTTCAAAAAGGCCGCCACCCTGCACGCTTCTCCATCCCGGGGCTTAAACCCTCTTCCGTACGTCTTCACATCTACAGAAGGATGATGCCTCGCTACTAGATGCGAAAAATGTTCCCACAGAGGAAATCGCCACACCCTATCACCAGTGTGCATAGAAGCGGCCAACATGTACTCCCACAACGCCTCCGAGTTGCTAAACACGCCACTGGCAGCCTTACCCAGCGACTTCTTCATGTCCGAGGTCATAGTTCCCACGTCGACGATAAGGCGGGGCCAGAAATTCTGGGCGTAGACGAGGGCGTCGGCTAAGCATAGCCGCCCACCCGTGTCCGTCGACTCGATCTTGATGCTCTTCCCGTTCATGGCCTTGACGATGTCCCCGGGCCGCATCGCAGCGCAGCCCGGCATGTTCTCGCAGAGGGGGATCAGCGCGCGAATGTTGAGCGGTAGCTGGAGACCGGCCACCGCCCTGCAGGCGGCGACAACGCACGCGGCCCCGCCCATATCCCCTCTCATCTTCTCTTGCTTGGGGCAGGATTTCAAGCACAGACCGCCGCTGTTGTAGGTGATGCCTTTGCCGATGAGGACGACGGGCCGTTCGTCCCTTGCCACCCCGTAGTAGCTGAGTTCCAGGAAGATGGGGGGCTCGCACGAGCCCTGGGCTACTGCTAGAAAAGCGAACATCTTCTGGGTTTCCGCCCAGCCTCTTACTTTCACCTCGACGTTGACGCCGGCTTTGCAGAGGACCTCCACGGCGTTCTGGGCGAAGGACGTGGGGGTCATGTAGTTGGCGGAGGTGTCCATTAGCTGTCTGGCTAGGTTTTGTGCGGCGGCTTTCTGTAGCCCGATCTGCCAACCGGTCCAGTCGCAGTCGTCCCACAGTTCTAGCTGGGGGATGAGAACCTGGTACTCTTTTTTCTTCTTTTCTTGGTACAGCCACACGCCTAGAGCCGAGCCTTCCGCTGAAGACTCCGCGTGGCCGAAGCTCTCCACGAAGATCTTAGTGACTCGTAGTTCCTGCAGGGCTCGACAGCCCGCCGCCGCGGCGATTCGGATGGCTTCTTTACCTTCGTCCATTTGCTCGAAGACGTCGTAGCCTTGGCATTCCCGGCCTAGACCCACCACGGCCACGGAGCTTATTTCGTTCTCGATGTTGTAGAATATGCGGACGACTCCTTTTTTTGGTGGTGGACCGGCGTACCTGAGCAGCTCCACGAGCCGATTACACACGTATTTGTTGTATCTTTCTCCCGTTGGAGTTAGCTTTCCGGGATCGAGGGGATCATCAGGATTGGTATATAAACCTAGGACTAAACCTGTGCTTAGGTGACTCTTGCATGGATCTTCTTCCACTTTTGCCGCCTTGTGGCAGCCTACTCCTGCTGAACTTCCCGCCAAACTCTTCCCAGCCGAGTCTCCTGAATATTTTCTGAGCACTGTTCGACTTAATACACATGGTGATTTTAAGACAAATCCAATGAAACGGAGTGCCATGTTTTACAATTGTTTAGCAGTTTTTTACTTGTACATTACTCACAATTTTAGTTTTTTGAAAAGATTTTTCATCAGTCAAAATTTTCAAATGAATGGTTTGTTTATCTGGTTACTTTGGAGATTTCTTTTTTATTTTAGATGGTATGATCGTTCTCGTGTACTTCGTATCTTGAACTATTTTGAAATGGTGACGCTGTAAACTAGAAAAATATTTCTTGGGATGCTAATTCGACAGTACAAAATTTATTTAGAAACTCAATTTCAGGAATATCGAAAAACCTGCATTTTTTCGTAAAATATTCTTGACATATTCCTTGTAAAATTTCGCAGTTGTGGTACATCGGAACTGAGCTGTGGAGATCTCTGATTTCTTTTTTATTCTTTATATCATGCCAACTATATAAAAATGACATTGTCTTCTTTATCGGTGTCTCAACTCAGAACCCCTAAAAATGTAGGATATTAAATGTTACTTCTGGGCCAGGACATTTGGCGTCTTAGAAAACAAGGCAGAATCTTACAAATTAGTAGCTGTTTGCCCAAAAGCAGACAACCGAAACAGACCTAAAACCTCTCAAAAAGCATTCATTTTTATGCACCCCAAAAGTATCCAAATATCTGTAGACCACCAAAAATTGGGTACATGAAAAAATCGTTGAAAATCACCCAAAATCATTCAAGAACAGTCTAAAAAAGTTACAAAATACCTTGTATTTAGAGATTCCAAAATGGCTTTCTATTTCTGGACCAGACCAATTGGCGTATGAAAAAAAAAGAAAAACAACATCAAATCAAAGAGGTGTATTTGGCGCCTTATTATTACAAAACAAGACAGAATCCTAAAAATTTGTATGTTTTCCCAAAAGTGATCAATCGAAAAAGACTTAAAATCCTTCAAAAATCATAATTTTTTATGCTCACAAAAAATACTCGAAAATCAATAGACCACCAAATGGGCACATGGGAAAACCGTTGAAAATCATCCAAAACATAATTACATTAAAAGCACCCAAAAAACCTTACACAACCTGTTGTTTTTAAAAACTCCAAAATGACTTTTTATTTCTGGACCAGGATGTTTGAGCACATTAAGAATCTAATAAAAATCATGGAAATTAGTCCCAAAGAGTTTTTAAAATTACTGAAAAAGAGGTCAAAGTCCATTTTTAGATACACTGAAATGGCTTTTCATTGATGGAGCAGGATAATAACTCGTAAAATAAAAAAATATATTGTGGTGACCGAATTTGAATCAAAATTTTGGCGCTGAAATTAATTAACAGCGGCGCGAAATCACATTTGAATAATTTGAATTTGAAAAAAAGAAACAAATCAAAAATTGTGGGCAACCAGGTGCACGGTAACGCTTGTTGGATAGTTGGACAGTTAATAGCGCTAGGGAATCATTATCGTTATATTTCGGTTCGGTGTAGTGGCTGCATTTGTGAAAGGACGCTGTAAGTAGCTAGGTTTAAATTAGCTGGTTTGGTAGTTAATATAAGGGAGGAAGCCTTTGTGTAACGACAATCAATCGTAACCGACGGCGCTCAGTTTCCCCAATCCGCGCGGCTAATTCTTGCGGCTTTTAATCGGAAAAATGTTAATTTTCGGGACCAACGCGGACCACACGTGCTGTAAATTTGTTTTTATTAGATATGAATGAGAGAGAAGAAAAATCAAGGAGATATAGAGATGGAGGAGGTCAAGAAGATGATCAGCGAACTTGCGACACAAATCAGAGAGTATATGAAAAAAAGTAATAAACAATTATTGAACGAATGGAATACACAGTTTAAAGAGGAGCTTAAAACAATAAGAGAAGAATTAAAGCAAACAAGAGATCAACTGCAGGAGCAAGATGAAGAAATTAGAGATAAGTATGAAGAATGGAAGAGAGCTAAGGAAGAAATGGGAAAGAGAGTGGGCGAAGTAGAAAGTCAACTAGATCGAATGGAGAGAGAAAAAGAGTAAAGTTAAAAGCGCCTACAAAATTGCAGAGAAAGTTTATGTAGTGGAATTCGAAAACAGAGAAGAAAAAATAAATGTAATGAAAAGCAAGAAGAACTTAAAAGGGTCGTCAATTTACATAAATGATGATCTGACGAAAACGAAAAGAAAAATTCAAAACAAGATAAAAGAAGAGGCAACAAAAGAGAGAAATAAAGGAAAAATGGTTAGAATGGGATATAAAAACTTAACTGTAGCCGGTAGAAATTTTGAATGGAATGAAGAAGAGGGCAGAGTTAAGAAGGCAGAAAATGTTTAGTAAAGAGGAAAAACGGAAGGAAACAAGGCAAAGGAAAAAGAAAAGGAATAAAAGATGCAGATAGCGAAATCGGAAAAAGGGAAGCTGGTACAAAATTAGGAGAAAAAGGGGTGAAGGTACTGTTTTAGAATGTCAAAGGGTTGCGAAAAAAGGAAAAGGAGTTCTGGGACTACGTGGGAAAATTTGATGTTGTGGGGCTAGTAGAGACTTGTGTACAAAGAGAAAACTAGGAGAAATTGGAAGAGACACTACCACAAGAATATGTGTGGGAATGTCAAGGGGCGACAAAGGAAAAGAAAAAGGGGAGAGCAAGCGGGGGAATAGTAATGGGAATTGGAAAAAGGAAGTAATAATAAAAACGGACTAATGAAGAAAGTAATACAGCTGGATAACAATCGATGGGAAATAATAACCATTTATAGCAAAAAGATAAACATAGAAAAGGAAACAAAAAAAAGGAGATGAAAAAATACTTATAGGAGGGGATTTTAACGCAAGATTGGGCGATAAGGGGACAAGAATAATAGATAAGGAAAAGCGAGAGAAAAGAGGATCAAAAGATAAAGCAAATAACAAATAAGGGAAAATATTGTGGCAGATAATAGAAGAAATGGGATGGGAAATTTTGAATGGAAACAAGGAAGGAGATGAAGAAGGAGAATGGACGTACGTAGGGGCTAGGGGAAAATCAGACCACATGCCTCTAGAAATAAAAATCAAAGGAAAATAGCAAGAGTACGAAAAACAAGAGAGAAGAAACGAAAGAAAAGGAATAGAAAAAAGAATATGGGATGAAGAGGGAATTCAAAGATACAGAAGAGAATGTAGTGAGTTGAAGAGAAAAGCAAGGGAAAAATTAAGAAAATGGAAGAATAACAAGGGAAGGAAAGAAGAGTACCTAAAAGTAAGAGAGAATTATAGGAGAAAATGGGAAGAAAGAAAAAGAGAAAAACGAGAAGAAGAAGAGAAGACAATAAAGTCGCTGAAAACAGAAGAAGAAGAAGTATGGAGATATATAAACAAGGAACGGAGAAGGAAGCCTGAAGTCAGTAGTAATACATGAATGGAAAAGACACTTTATGGAATTGTTGGGAGGTTGTGAGGAAAAATGCTGCAAAATAAATAAAGAAATCACAACGACGGAGGAAATGTGGAGAGGTTCGTAAATAACAGAAGATGAAATAGGAAGACAGATTCAAAGACTGAAAAGAGGAAAGGCACCAGAAGAGGATGGAATCCAGAACGAAGCGTGGATGTTCGGGACAGAAGGAGTGAAAGAAAGGATATGGGAAGTGGTAGATGGAGTTTGGAAGGGAAAAGGGTTTCCTCGGCAGTGGAGAGAAGGTATAATAATTCCATTGTTTAAAAAGGGGTAAAAAAGTGATGTGAAGAACTACCGAGGGATCACCTTGCTCAATACGGCTTACAAGATATACGCAATGATACTAGATGAGAGGTTACGAAAGGAGATGGAAGCAAAGGGTATGTTACCAGACGGTCAGGCAGGGTTTAGGAAAGGAAGAGGTACATCCTGCGGTATTTAGTGTGAAGAGAAATAAGGACAGAGGGTGGACGAATGTACGCATTGTTCATAGATTTCAAAGCAGCGTTTGATAGCGCGAATAGAGAGAAAATGTGGGAGTTTTTGAGGAGAGAGGGAGTAGATGCGTACTTGGTAACGAAAATGGAAGAAATATATGAAGAAACAGTAAATACGGTGAGAGTGAATGGAATAGAGAGCGAGAATTTTTATACAAATAGAGGAGCGAGACAAGGATGCCCACTTAGCCCTGCATTGTTTGCAACTTATCTAGGACATATAGATGAAATGTTCAGAAAAGCACAGACAGGAGGGGTGGTAGTCGGCAAAGAGAAAGTGTGGTCGTTGGCGTACGCAGATGATATGGTGATTGTGGCAAAGAAAAGAGAAGAAATGAAAACAATGATTAAAAGTTTGGAGAAGTACGTACAAAAAAAGGAATTGGAAGTGAATGTGGAAAAAACAAAAATGGTGGTGTTTGGGAAGAAAGTAAGAAAGGAGAAGGAAGAGTGAGCATGGAGAGGAAAAAACATTGAACAGGTGAAAGAATTCCAGTACTTAGGTTATACATTAATGAGCAATAACTCAGATAGAGCCGATATTCAAGAAATGGTGCAAAAAGTGAACAAAGTAATAGGAGTAGTATGGGGAATAGGAGAGACAAAATGTGGACATGATTATAAGAGAAGAATGATGATGTTTGATAGCTTGATCAAAAGTGTATTTATGTGCGGAGCTGAGATTTGGGGATGGAGGGAATATGAAGAAATAGAGAGAGTGCAAGAAAAATACTTGAAATGGACATTGGGATTGGAAAGTATACGCCGAGAGAGTGGGAACGGGTAAAAGAACGGTCGGATTTGAAGAGAAGTTCAGTGAGAGAGGTGATTGTAAAATATTGCAAGAATGTTGGAAAGAAATAAGAAAGGAAGGGGGAAAACATGTTTAGAACGAAAGAGGCAAGTATTATGGAGGAGAGAGATATGGAATGGGAAGGAGTATGAAAGAAGAACTGAGTGTGACAGATAAGGATATAGATAAGCAAGAACGCAGATCGAGAATATCGGATTCTAGATCTAATCAGTGGCGTAGCTAACTTCCACTGCGCCCCCCCCCCGCAGTTTATAGTAAGCGCCCCCATACACCAAATTTAAAAAGTAATATAAAATTAATATGAAATTACTGGTTTACCAGTAGTGGCGCCGAATAGCACAGATTTACAAATAATAATAATTTATACACATAATAATTTTTAAAAATTGTTAATTGATTATACTGGCTTCATTCGACGTTGT